AAATCACACAATAATTGTATAAATTCAGGTCAAAAATAGGATAATTATTGAATGAATTACCATGCAATAATTGTGTGATTTATTGCAATTTTTAGCACAATTATTGTATGGTCAAATATACAGAAATCGTAGTGAATTTAATTGAATGATTTTTCAACAAAAATCACACAGACTTTTTTCATAGGGATACACATTCTCTTTTTTAGTAAGAGCTACTGCATCTTCTTAATATATTTATTGCTAGGTCTGATCTATGTTCATATTCTTTTTGATAATGCAATTAAATTCTTATTGTATTAGATAATTAAAAAATAATACAAACTGATAATTATACAGCAGTATATATTTATAATATTATACAATATATCTAGGGATCTTTAATAGAAGCTATAAAATAAATTTCTATTGGAGAATATTGTTCTAGTTGATTTATGTTTTATTGACGTACTAGGCAATACATACAGTATATACTCTGTCTCTTATACACATCTAGATGTGTATAAGAGACAGCATGTAGAAAGATGATTAAGATTTTCAATTAAATTGAACGCTGGATAAATAGTTTGATTTTCAAATTCATAAAAATCAAAAAAAAATTGATATTTTTACAATATTTTATAATTAATTAATTAAAGAAATTCTTGATTTAATAATAGACTATTATAACCAAATCCATATCCGAAATTCTCTAAATAATCACCAGATTTTTGAATAAAAAATTTAATTCAAATGGTTTAGTTAAATTGATAATTTATTGAATAAAAATGAGTATCAAAAGAATAATAATAAATGAAATGAGCAGATTTCTAATATTTAATTGTTCAAATATTTTTCCTAAGTTGATTATAAGTTTAAAATTGACGTAATATAAAATAATAAGAGATAATTATAAAATTTATAATTAATTAATAAAAATATTTGTTGTATTTTCATAATATTAAAGTTTTTTCAAAATACTTCTAAAAACTTAATCAATTTTTATTGATAATTATTTTTTCACAATTCCTAATTCATCCGAATTTCACTCTACACTCAAACATCAAATCATTAATATAAATAGCTACATTATTTAAAAATAATTTATTATTTATATCATTCTAATATTATAAATATAATTTAATGGGTATCAGGACATTTTGCCGAAAGCCATTTTGCCGAAACCCATTTCGCCGAAGCCATTTCGCCGAAGGTATATTTCGTCGAAGGGATGTTTCGCCGAAGAGACATTTCGCCGAAGGGCCATTTCGCCGAAGGGACGTTTCGCCGAAACCCATTTTGCCGAAGCCATTTTGTCGAATGGCTATTTCGCCGAAAGGACATTTTGCCGAAACCCATTTCACCGAAGCCATTTCGCCGAAAGAACGTTTTGCCGAAACCTTTGGAAATCTGCGTTTCTTACATAGGTAAATCGGTCAATTTTTAGCCGAATTGGCTGAAATTTTTACTGAGAAAACTCTGACATTGGATCTATTTTATTCAAGTATTAATTGTAACATTTGTAAATCTTACAATTTCACAAATAATTCTTAAAAAAAGTTGATAATTGGAAAAATTAAAAATTTTTTTTTACAAAATAAACTGTTAGCCTTAAAATAGGATAATTTTTATTTTTTTTATATTACTTTTTTTTAAAAAATCCATTAATATACGTTAAAATGTATATAAATATAAATTATGAGCCTTCTGGTTCACACTTTATTAATAAGAAATTGGCAAATTGCAAGGCATTTTTACTATAATTTTGTTAATTAACAATTATTTTTCCAGAATTATGAATATCCAGAAGTCCACTTGCAATTTGTTGTAATTTATCAATTTTTGAATAATAATCTAATTTTTTATTCATATAGTAATTTCTCAAATTTCCATCTTTACAGTATTGTAAAACCATCATATAATCTTACATGAATTACGAATTAAGGTTCATGAAGAGATTAATAAATAAATAAAAAAAAAATTTATTTTCATGATTGCACGATTAATAATTTTATAAAAGTAATATTTCTATCATTTTCGGCTAAATGGCTTTCAGCGAAACATCTTTTCGGCGAAATGGCTTCGGCAAAATGGGTTTCGGCAAAACGTCCTTTCGGTGAAATGGATGATTCGGCGAAACAGCTTCGGTGAAACATCCTTTCGGCGAAACATCTATTCGGTGAAACATCTTTTGGCAAAACATCTCTTCGGCGAAATGGCTTTGGCGAAATGGGTTTCGGCAAAGTGGCTTTCGGCAAAACGTACCGTAACCCTTATTAAATATACGGAATTTGTATACGGAATCTATAGAAACGTACATAAAATGTATACAAAACGTATCCTTTCCGTATACATATTTCTTATAGGGAATTATCTGAAACTTCTTCCGAAACTTCTTCCGAAACCCAAATTTGGATTGTTTTGTAGATCATTTAGGCGAAACTAGACTAGTTACTCCTGAAACACTATCTGTTTGATAATCATCTGATATCTGAAACGCGTTGCTAAATACCGAATTTACGTATTTAAAACATTAGTTATCAATATTTTTTTGCTAAATATAAAAATTATGACAGAATAACTATTTCTTTATTTAATACAAATAATTAAGTAATGAAAATTTTAGAAACAATAAAAGAGTATTTTTATTTTTTTTATTTAAATGTTAAAGAACAAGTCTTCTTCGTATAATAAATTATTGTTCGGGTATATATACATACCAGATACTATATTTTTAGATATTTTATTTATACTTTATAATATCATAATAAGCTATTTATATCAAAATAAGCTATTTATAAGAGTATATATAATAAAATTCGTTAAATTTCCATGGAAAATTTTTTTATGGTCTCATTTAATGTTCCAAACGATAAGATATAATTATTGTTTATTATTATCATGCATGTAGTCAAATGGTATTGTAGTACAAGATGATAGCAGATTTTATTTGGGAAATGCGGATATTTTTTAACCCGGATATTTATTCAGATAAAAACCGCGATTATCCAATATATGAAACAATACCCAATTAACTCCTCTACCATTATTTCTTTCAAATCGGTTGTAAATTTTGTTTAAATTAAGGCATGATGATAATTCAGTTTTTGATTAACTTGTCGAGATAAAAATTTAAATTTTACTTAGGGGTCGTATCTGCGGCTTACATGATTTGTGCCAATCGCAAGCAATAATATCATATTAAACTTTTAATAAGCTTTTTTTATCAATAATTTAAATAAAATCATTGTAATAAAAAATAGTAATCTGGCGTTCTTTGATTCAATTTTCAAAGATATCGGTCGTTACATGGAAAAAAATTTTAAAATTTAATCTAATGGTAAACTCCGGAAAAAAGATGGTCTATGCATTAAAAAATCTGTATAATGGTACCGTAACCTTGTTTTATAAAAATATTCGGCAAACGATAAGGAGTGCATATTGTACAATCATTCTATAATCAATAGGACATCCCGACGAATTCATAATGCCCTTCATGTTCCCTTACTAAAAACATCAAGCTGATTCAGCAAATATTTAGCATGACCCTAATATATAAACAAAATTCGAACTACCTGGTCTAATAATATTAAACTTAATTAGTATAATATATTTGGCAGCATGAAATCAACAATCCATTCAATTAACACTTTAATTACTAACTTAATGTGTAATATAATAGTTTTAGCCGGAATTATCTTAGTAGTGCGAACCAGAATTATAATCATAAGACATAACGTTTGAGTAAATTAAATTTACTACTTTTGGGGAAAACAAATTCCTTTATAAATTACAATAGTTTTTCTAATTACTTTTTATAAATCACTCTGGAAACTGTAGAACGTGATATTAAACAGAAAAATTCCGTGGATTTTTATTACTTAATTTTATTAAAACGTACTCACTATTTAATAACGAAAATTACGAAAAACGAGTTTATGACGGAAAATTGGATACATTATTCGATTTTGTAACGAAATCTCATAGTTCATTCTAATGCAATTATAATAACTGGATTCGATTTTGTCTTAAAGTGATAAAATATCTTATTCTTAATTGAAACCTTAAAATGATAAAATCTTAATATTACATATATTAGCTTAAATAATTCTTATCTTAAACTCGTATATAGACATAAAAATATGATCTAAAAACCATTATGAGTTTGGTAATTTGTAGTATAATTGTGACCTGTATTTTCTGACTAGGGATTGGAACCGTCAAAAAAAAGCTTAACCGGTTAATAACCGGTTAATTAGAGCGTCTAACCGGTTAATAGTCGGTTAATTAATCGGTTAATTAACCGGTTAATTTGTAATGATGCTAACCGGTTAATAACTTGTTAATATATAAATTTTATATTTTAACGTGTGTTTAGAGCCTATTTTTTGTATTTTAACGCGCGTTTAAAGATAAATTTTTGTGTTTTTAACTAAATAGTATTATTTAAGAGTAATTTCTGGTAAATATTTGTATTAAAATGTATACATTAGTAAAAAATTACATAC